GTTTATACAAAACTGAGAACCCTTTGGCCAATGATGCTCCTGACCAAGCTTCAGACTGCATTTGGTTTAAATCCCTTCACTTGTATAGTAGGAGAGAAAAAATCCTCTACTTCCCCTATTTGGCCCCGCCCCTCTGCCCCCAAAGAGGCCACACCCTCCGTTTATACAAACTTGAGTCTCCTTTGTCCAAAGATGCTCTAGGACAAATTTGGTCAAAATTCTTCTATTGGTTGAGAAGAAGAAGATTTTTAAAGATTTACCTATTTTCCCCCTATTTGGCCCCGCCCCTCTGCCCCCAGGGGGGTTATACCCTCCTTTTATACAAAACTGAGAACCCTTTGGCCAATGATGCTCCTGACCAAATTTGGTCAAAATCCTCTGAGCCATTCAGGACAAGTAGCATTTTAAAGGAAAAAGTTGACGGACGCCGGACGCCAGACGCCCGACGCTGCACCATGGGATAAGCTCACATGGCCCTTCGGGCCAGGTGAGCTAAAAACATGTTAAGTGGTGATTAAAGAATGCTGCATTAACTTCACTGTGAATTGTTCTGAAATTTGAACTGCAAGGTTTTAACAAAATTGCATTCAACTGAAATTTTAGTAATTTCTAGTTTTGTTTTTTTGGGGTGGTTTAATAAGAGACTTTCTGATGCATTCATGCAACCTAAATGTATCAAAATATTACTCACTAAGTTTAATTATTTCTGAGTTATGTTGAAATGGGAAAAGATGTTTATATATGTACTTCACTGGTTGGAAATATAGAAAGTTTTCTTCTTTGTTTCCTGTTAATTGCTTACAACATATGTTCGAGGGATTGACTCCATATACCCATTTTTTTTCAAATTATGTTTAAATTTCATACATACTTGAAGAAAAAGAAAGGGCCACAACTTGTGAATTCCAAAAGCATTCCCGTTTTAGGATATACAATCTATATGCAAATCTTCATATTCTAATCAAATCTCAAAATATTTGGTCAAAACCTAGGGGACTAGCTGTGATCACAAGGTTTTGCAAACAGACAGATAGCATGACAACAAAATGTGTCCCAGATTTGGTGGGCGTGTGTAAAGATTACTCACTTTACTTAAGTAATACTTACCTTACTGCAGTAGTATTCCATGAGGGCTGCGGCGACGAAGACCTGATACTTGGTGCGGTTGTCCTCGCGTCCCATTTTGAACACAGATCGAGCTGACTTGATACCTTCAGCTCTGCGGGCAAACTTCATGTACTGGATATATGACTGCAGGTACCGACAACACCATAGCATTAGAGCTTTATAAAGTATTTACGATAACAGCATATTAAATCCTATTTCAAGTGGAATGAAATAATTTATCAGAATTATTAAATATTCAATGCTTTTGAAGAACTATCTTACCTATGTTATAGAAATTTCGAATTTATATTCTGCAAATCAAGCTGCTGATTTAAAAGATAAATTTACAAAGTTTTCCTAACAATAATATCAATATCTGGTACATGATCGATGTGAATTATGGCACTCTTACCCAAACTTTTCAAATTTTATGTTATAAGTAGTTTTCTTACCAGAGTTGGATTTACATCTTGGACATTCAGATTCCTTTTATATATGCTATGGACTTTTTCATATTTCATACGACTCTGGAAAATATAAAGAAATAAATCACATGTATAACAGCTATCAATTAATCACTTTATCATTTCATTACTTCAACCTATACCAAAGTTCATATCAATATCAAAGAGGTCATTATTAGTTATATCAAAATAAAATTTGAAAAAAATGAGATCAAGTTTACAGATATCACAGGTCAATTTAATGCATCCAAAAGATGGTTATGTTTAAGTTTAAATGTATGTTTAAACATGGTTTATGAAACAACTGTATACACATCTTTATTTCTAATGGCAGTTAGATATTAGTCACAGCACAGTCTGTAACTATATGGTTTTCCCACTGACATCTAGTGTGTGGGCGTTTGTTAAGACTAATATGAGATAACATCATTGGTTTGGGGTTTCTGTCCAGCCATGCAGCCTCCTGCACCAGACGCATAACCTTATATCTCCTATACTGACCAATGCTACGTCATACAGCAACATTTTTTAGCGATGAGTAATAGTCACGTGACTTGTAAGAATCCTGGGTTTGATACACTGGCTGCATCAGTTTTACAACTAACAGCGAGCTGTACAGATGGTCCATCCTCCCGTATTCAAGCCACCTTCACACCTTATTTGGTGCTCTCAAACACTGAACATAGCGGTAGGGCCTGATCACTTTAGTGTAATTCAGCTCCTGCTCCCATTCGCAGGGGGAGCTGTAGCACGTATATGTAGGGGTCGTTCCACAGCCCAGCTGCTTCCTGGCACCCGTAAACCCATTAACTCAACATGAACTAGAATCAACCTTTCGGCACAGCTCGGTTCCGCCGTGGGCTCTACCGGAATTACGACATATGCCACAGGCGCTTTCACACAGTTCCTCCAGCCCTATAGTATATAGACTGTGCATATTATTTGCCATATATGGACACTATTAATAATGCATGCAAGTTTACGGCTGACCTACGCCACTTCGTCGAGACTTCAAAATTCTAGTTTGGTTATGTGCAGTGTCTGTGAGTACCCTGATGTTGCTACGAATCTGAACTACTTTGCTTGTTGTTGTTTGATAAACTAAGCATAAATGCAGTTATGGAAACTCAGAAGATTCAGATTTAAAAAAAAGTGAATTAGAATTATGATAAGTGTGATATATACCTCCTCAAAATCAGCATATGCAAAGTACACCAACATATTGTTTTTCATGAGGGTTGTGATGGCCCGCTCATACACTGCTGCGGCCTCATCAGCAAACATCTTCCCTGCATTCTGATCCTGTTAACAAATGGGAACTGTAATGTGCATGTACATTTAACTTTGTCAAGGCAACATTAATATCACATAATGAAACAAGCGACTACAATTCTATTAAACACACACTGTGACAGGTTGCATCCATAATTGAACTTAGCTTGGGCAATGACATTATATGACCATACACCAAACTTGGGGAAAACTGTACATGAATAGGATAGGCATAATCTGGCAAAAGACCACCAATAAAAGTTACGATAGTATTTGTGACTCGATTGCAAATACAAATTATGGTGTTCTTCAAACTTTACCTTGGTAATCATAATTGAAAAAGTATGCATAACCTAATTAAATATGCATAGGTTCTGCTTAATTTTGAATATGGCCTGAGCATTGATATCATTCATTATCTCTGGTAGATTTTCAAGGTACAATCAGATAAATAACACAAAGCTGTTTTCAACCATAAATGCACATGCTACATCTAGTTAGCTACATCAAACATGTAGAAACACACCAGCCAAAGGATTCTAGATAATATTGGAACTTGGGATTCTAAGTATCATATAATCTTGGATTCAGGATAAACTTGGAACTTTTGGAACCATTTAACCCTTTCACCCCTATGTTAATTTAATAAACTCTACCATGCATTGATCTGGATAAGTCCATTATGGTCTATAGTGGAGAAAGGGTTAAACTCAAATTCTGAGTACCATTGTGGATTGGTTATATAAAGCCTTATTTACAATTATAACAGCAGGTATGTTTAATACTTACTCCTTTCTCTGTAAGGATTTTACTGGATTCCTCTAGGTAGGAGGCTGCCTCGTACCAGATGTCTGGGTGATGCCCTAGACACAGCAAGCTCTGCTCATAGGCAAACATCACTTCAACAAAAAATGTTATCGTTCAATGGGAGCTAGGTTTGAGCTTACACATGTATCTATATGTGGGAAAGTGTAGCACCACACAGTTTTATTCTTACATACAAACTTACACCGGATAATCTAATGACAAAATATATTTGTCTTTTTTGTTAGATTCTGCATTAAACCGTACCTTGACGGTTAAAATCCTGTTTTCTTTTGAATGACTTAAATTTCTGAAAAGCATGACCTTAATTTAGTAAATTTTAATCTTTATTCATTTAAGTGGGACATGGATATAAACATTGCAATGCTCCCTGTAAAATGGTGGGGTATAAAAAGTTGGGAGAGGCATGTATGTCAAATAAGGTGCACGGTAACTTTACAGTACTGTGCCCTTAATGTACTGCCACCAATAAAACAAAGGGCATATCAATGTTTTACTGTGTTTTATGTCTCCAAAAATTATATTCTTTACCTCGCCTCGTGATGAGAGCATGATCTTCTGTCCTTAGCGGGTTGCCTTTCTCCCAGGCTATGTACTTTTTCCACAGCTCAACCTAGTATTTAATAATAAATAGAATAATATTAAGATCAAAGCACATTTCCTATACATGTACAACTAAGTGATCATGTTTTCCCCCATATATTCAATTAAATCAGAATTTTGATAAAATCAACTTAGCTAGATACTAATGTCAGGTGCCATCAGAACATCTGGAATGCATTATGCACAACCATAGTGGTGACTCTGTATACAGCACTTGTCAGAGTTCATTAGAATGGCACCAGAATTACTGACGAAAAGGACATTGTAATTCCAAACCCATAGACTGGTACGTACAGTATGTATATATGCATACAAATACACCTTATGACTAACTGACTAGAGTTCAAATTACTATCCGCCAGCCACAAATTATTTGCATTGAAAATATATTTCAAAACAGTGTAATAAAATACCCTATAACGGTTTATCTTCTACAGAAATGAGCATTAGGGATGTAAATAAAAAGTTCATTACTTCTGATACAATTTTGGATTCGCTATACTGATACCTGTTGTGCCTCCTCTGGTGAGTTGGATGGAGGAATGGAGGGAAGGCTTTTGTTGAGTCCTCGAGTCACAGCTTCGTACTCCTTGGCAACTCTTCGGGCATTCATGTAATCTCTTCCTCGATCTTCTGTCATCTTTTTCGCAATCAGTGGATTTATGTTCTGTCATAGAAATTTATAGATTAATATTGGTACAAAAGTGTACAAACATCAAAAAGAAATGCATTTCTTATAGGAACAAAACTGAAATGATGAATATCTTATCATTAAGTACAGAAATACGTCAGAATCAAATGATGAATATCTATCATTAAATATAGAAATACATCAGATTTAGAGATTTTGATCTACCTAGAACTGTTCAATTGTAATTTTCCTCTTTTGACTCTTCAAGTTATTCGCAACGAGAAAAATTCTAGTTTGGCACTTCATTTTAATAGGTATTCTGCCACCTAAGCTACATTTTAGTGCTTCCTCCCCACTCTTAATTTATTTTTATTTTTTAAATTGGTGTCTGAAATGCTGTCTCTAGTAAATAACCTTTGTAAAATTATGTTTTGAAATATAAACTTTTGCTTATCCACCTTAATTTTTTTGCGAGTCAAAATCAGAAACAACATTTTGTCTGGACTTAAATCATTCACCCTGAAATATCATTATGAACTCTTCAGGGGTGAATGAGTTAAAAGTCTGAATTCTACTATTGCATTGATCAAGACAATTTACAATTAAATTATGCTGGTTGATGGAGTATACCGACATCATTGGTTACTACAATGATCACAAGGGTGTTTAAGATGTAAATGTTGAAGCCAAAATTATCCAAGAGTGATCATTATACCAAGGGAGATAATCCTGACAGCAAAATACCTACATTTTCGTATGCACAGTAGTCCTTCCAAAGGGCCTCTATGTTGATCATTGGGTTGACCACACCTCGCTGGTACACCTTCCTCACAGCTGTGATGCGCTGGTTCTCTGCATATGATCCAACAGCATCCCTGTAAATGTGCCATAACAAAAATTATTGCAAGAAACATAACATCAATTTCTTTAACAAGTTTGAAACAGAATCAATAACTAGTAAAACTTGCTTAGCTTGAAGGATCCAGTGTCCAGGTTTTCAATATTGTAGGAAAATACAAAGGATTATGCATAAATCATGACCATATTTTCTCATACACACGTTAAGGAGAGCAGGCAGTGCTAGTTTTTTCTATCTTAATCAGTTTGTCTTGAATTCCTGACATCTTAGTCAAACTGACACCATCTGCTTTTTTATATGTGACATCTTGCTATAATAAACATTTGTATCAAAACAAAACAAAACTTGAAAAGTGTTTTAAAATACTAAATCTGATAAAAATATGTTCCAAAATTAAAGAAAATCGAATAAACATCTCTTTCAGAATCACAAGCATTTGATCTTCGCTTTAGAGTGAAATGTTGTAACATCCCAATGGAGGCATATCATCATAGACTAAAATTAGCCAACAGGTAACAGGTAATGGATAACATGTTTATCAATCTGTTCAAAATTGGATGTTTATAAGACTTGTGCTTGTCTGTGTGTGCCCATGATATTATGTACAATCAACATAATCCATATAATATTTAACACAAGTTTTCTAGACATAAAAGAACCTCAAAAATTAACTTGAGAAAAGGGGGATAACCCTGAGCACTGTTGCCAAAAGGACATTTTTTCTATTTATATTTTTTCAATCTATCATGTTTGGAGATTTTTACAAAAGGAAATGAAGAAATTTCTGAAATATGTAAGCTTACACTGATTTGAGAAAGTTGATATAATCTACCCATAGCTGGTATGACATGATGTCCATCCCCATCTTGTCCAGTGCAAAGTCGTAGGCCTGTGCCATTTTTTCCCTGCAAAAGAAAAGTCACCATTTCAAAATGGACAAAATTGAGACAATATCTGTCACAGTCATGATCAAGTGATAATCCAGAATATACATCATAAGAATTAAGGATAGAAGAAGCTCATTCAGATCATATGACAAGTAAATCAGTTAAATACAAATATTAATAATAATAATTGGAGGTTCTTTTACACCGCTTTATCACAACCTAGTTCGTAGGTCGTCTCAAAGCGGTTCACAAATTATTATCCGTGGTTATAGGGCCTTTGCAACCAGCCAATATTACCTGTAGGACGGTAGGGATCCTTTAGTGTCCTTTATATAGGTCAGGTAAAGCTTCCACAGGTCTATACTCAAAACCTTCACTAAACAGCGCTGGAACAGCTGTCAAAACAAACGCATTTTCTTATAAAATGTTTAATTAAAAAGCATTTGCATTATGATTCACTATTCCATGAACTTAACTCCAATACTGTGCTGAGGGAAATGAACGCCTTTATAGCACAACCTATTCTTGGATAGATGGGAGTGATTTATGAAAGAGCATGTAAGCAGAGTTAATATAATTGACAGCCTCCCTTATCATAGATGGTTAAGTAGAACATTCTTTCTATCGGCTAAAAAGCTAAATACCTACACCGAGCTCTACCACGACACTGTACCACCAACTAATTATTTTTTGCAGTTGACCTTTGCCTTAAGGAATTTTAATCTCAGGTGAAATCTCATTCAACAGCCTGTAAAGTTTAAGCATATGATGTTCAAGCACTCTAGGCCAAAGGAAACTCAATTTCAGGCATCAGAATGGAAATACATTCAAAGTAATGGTGACGTCTGACCTCACATCTACAGTTACCTTTTCCCCAGAAACTACAGCAAAAGGAAGGTAACATGAAGTGATAAACAGAAAATGTGTATACCATAGCAATGACCATAACCTTCAACCTGAAGTGCACATCCATTGCCACCTTTTCCCATAAACTAGCACCATATAAAGTTTCAGAAATCTAGGTCAGAGGAACCACAATTCAAAATCTGAAAATATATTAGCAATGACCTTGATTTCTGACCTCAAATGGAGCCCTGTGACCCTTTTTTATTAAGTACCAGCAAATGATCTTTTTAAATTTCTAATGAAAGGTGAAGGAACCGAAATTCTTTTAAATATAAAATGGATATAGACTTTTGAAATATTGATCACAAATGGTATCCATTACCAATCAAATAACATAAGCTACCTGCAATTTTTAGCACTTCAAACTCGGACAAAAAAATCATTATTCCCCTTAAATGCTAGCTAGTGAAATTGTATCCATGATTTGTGTTCAGAGTTATCTCCCTTGATGTTAAATCAATACTTCTTTATAACATGCTTACTTGTGTAACCTACAACAGTGGCCACAATTACTTTATCGTCAAAACTGAGTTTCATTAAATATTTTTCTTAGTGTTAACTCTTTCGGGGGGAAAAAAGTGCAAATCACAAAAGAGGTAACATACACTCTTAAATTAAAACCATTGGCTAAAGTTGATCATAATTGAGCTCTTTGTTTTATAGCAAGCCTTAATTATGTGCTTATTTACAATTCCCAAATGACCCTCTTCTAAAGAATCCAGTTAATAAGGGTCCAAGGCCGATTTAGACCAGACCTGAGCCCGAACTTATTGTCAGTAAGATTCACATACTAGTAACAAAAATAACTTGTAAACCAAGTGATGAGGTAGGAAAATTATCAGAGAATGTCTTCCTATTCTGAACAACTTATATCGATCGAACATTAGGTTGCTAATATATCATTGTTTACAGGTCAAGGGACAGTTACTTGACCAACCAATGACATGATAATTTATTGGTCAGGGGGTTGTGCGTAAAAATAAAATAAATCAATATAATTGGCATTAAGATAGGCCTTTTCTTTATCTGTCTGTCCATTTAATTGTACTAATCATGAAAATATAATAATTTCCTCGGAGTATTCAAAAGCCCAGAAATGAGCAAGTCCTTTCATCTGTACGGTAACCACTGCAGCTTTTCTCCTTACCTTTTCAACTCGTTCATAATTTTTGGCTTTCAGCTGAAAACAAGGAAAAGAATACATAAAGATTCCAGTTAAATTAGCTAAGATTATCAGTTTACTGTGCTGGTCCCATATTTACTGCGAGTAATACCTGGGTGGCCTTGTCAAGTCCAACAATTATCAATTATGGACTTAAGTTGAGGTCAATATGCATATGTGGTTATATGAACCTGAGAAAGGGATCTTGACCAAGACAAGCTGAGGTCAATATCACTTTTTCAGGTCCATATAACCACATATTCACCAAAATAAAAGTACCTTATGAGGTCCCTTCTTTCTGCCCCCATGGATTTGGGTTGATTAACCTCAATTTCCCCTATCAGGCATGCCCTTCTGCCCCCTAAAAGCAACCATCTATTCATACAACAATTAGTCCCCTTTACCCAAAACTCCCTCATTCAAGTCCAAACTCGCACTAACTCAAAATCTACATCCTGAAGTCAAATGATCTCCTAGTTACTGCAGGGTGTACGTAATGATCATAATAGGTGAGTCTGATTCAAATGCATGGTGTTTGGAGTTAAAAAAATGAGAATGCTCAAAAAGAAGAATTTCCCTTGATATTAACTACCTTGATTGATATAATTTGTTTCAGGGCCCATATCAGTCTAAATAATTACTATACGATGAAATAGTAGAATACTAGAACAGAAGTGTCCTTTATGTCTAGTAGATTTTGTTTGTTGCATGGTCTTCATCTGTCTTGCATTTTCTGTTTAAAGACACTTCAAATTTGTTTTAGGCATCTTCATGTATTTCGTGAGTTCAATCATCAATATTAGTCTGCAGATTTTATTGTTTGAGTTTAAGTGTCCTGCTATTATTTCATTGGTCAGTCAATATCAAATAATAAACATCATAATTCCTTATAGTTAATAAGGGCAATAACTCTGTATATTGTGCGAGGATGAAACCTGTTTTTAGTACAGTTGGCAGCATATGTGATCATGATGGTCTGACAGATAGTAGTGAAAACTGAAAATCTCTTCTGGTATTTTCTTGAGGAGTACAGCAGATTATTTTGAGCTAAGTATACCTCATTGCTTATCTGCAGGAGCCCCCAAGATTAATTTCCTCATATTATCATGCAATAGCAAGTAGGAGTTCAATTTTTCCCCCTGAATATGAAGTCATGGTAAGACTCAGCCATGATGATGCTAAATATATTCAAACTGACAGTATTCTCTAAGCATTGATCAAGTTTGTGTGTTTAACACAACACATTACAGACCATGTGACATTACCACAGAGTAGAGGCAGTACAAAATTGACTATAGGAAGTTTTTTTATGAAAGCATGCCCATAAGATCTCTGAAGCATTTAAGCTAATTTATAAACTGAACATGATTTCATTACAGTAGTTTGCCGGCATTTCCCCCCTAACTGGACCTTGTAAACTTTAAAAGTGTAGAAATTTTTTTTTGCCCTTCTGAACTAATTTCTACTATCCGTAGATGGAGAGTTTTCTGGGCCAGCATATCCTCCCCCCCCCCCCCCCCCCA